AATAAAAGAGAAGTGAAAAAAATCTATATTATACCACATTGAAATACAAAACGCAACATTACAAAAACTACATACATTAGAAATGCATCTACCAACACACACACACACACACACACACACACACAACGGGTAGAAGAGTAGAACAATGCAGCTGTAGAAAAGTAAGGCAACATAACTGGCAGAAGATTGGGGCAACATAGCTGGCAGAAGACTGGGCAACAGCTTTAAAAGTTACAAGAGTGGGGCAACAAATAGACGTTAACATGGAGGGACCGAATATCCTTAATAAGAGTGGGGCAACATGTCCGTAGACGAAAAGGGCAACACAGCTGGTAGAAGAGTGGGGCAACATAGGGGTCGTCCATTAATTATGTTAACAAAATAGGGGGGGGGTGTTATGTTTGAAAATTGTTGACAAGGGGGAGAGGGGTTAGATGAGATGACGTCAACAATCATGCTTTCTCTATTTAAAATATTAATCTTAAAAATTTGACTGATTATTACATTATTTTAACAAATTTAATGACTATAAATGAAAATAGTTCGATAATTTTTGGGCTTTTAACAATAAAAGATTTATTTAATGTATGTCTGTCTGTGCACTGCTGATGGCTGGTCAGAATGTTAGCACATTTAGTTAATGCAATAGAAGTCAAAAGCTGGCCTCTCTTCGACTATAGATTCTATTTGTGGCAAATGACCAGGGCGGTATGCGTGCGATCATGTTGCAGGTATGGAACAAGTACAAGGTTAAAGAGTCATGTGTGGTCCAAATAAACGGTACTGATAGAGTAGGAGTACGATATTTTGAGAATTAAGGGAAAGTAAAGTGAGTAACAATAATATCATCGCTGCTTGAACGGATTTAAAAAATCTGAATCATCCATTCTACATCACATCTCATGTTGAAATAGCATGTTCAACAGAACCGACAATGCATACGAGATCACCAGCTGCTCCTCAACAAAAAAGTATGTGACTAATGCAAGTAGACGCCAGGAGATAGAGAGAGAGACAGAGAGAGAGCTTATGGCAATTATTGCTCACATTGACAATGCTTCTATTTTAAGTGCTGAATGGTTAGATGAGAATGATGTTGACTTGTCTGGTGTATCAGTTCCAAAAGATGAAAATGATAAATCAGCTGCCATGCCCATTGTTACGATAGTTAGAACAACACCTGGCTACTCCCTGGGAAGATGATAGCTAGAAACTATGCTGCATGTGTGAGCTATACTTACAATAATCACATTTCTACGGTCACAAACAATGATATTTAGTCTTTAACAACCTTTTCATTGATTCTGCATTATAAAATTATTTAAGTGTAATTACTTTTTAACTTGTTGATTAAGATGCTAAAGATGTAATGAAATGTTTTTCCTACAATTTTCTGTTATTAACATAGATCAGCACAAAGTAAAATGTATTTATATATTTATTTATACAATAATACATTTTTTTTTGGGGGGGGGTATACAAATGTTGACATAATTACTTAGGGGGCCGTCAAAAAAAGTTTGACAGTTGTTGACAGGGGAGGGGGTCAAAATTGCTTTAAAATAATGGACGCCCCCATAGCTGATAGAAGAGTGATGGCAACATAGACTATAGACGAGTGGGGCAACATAGATTATAGACGAGTGGGACAACATAGATTATAAACGAGTGGGGCAACATAGATTATAGACGAGTGGGGCAACATAGATTATAGAGGAGTGGGGCAACATAGATTATAGACGAGTGGGGCAACATAGATTATAGACTAGTGGGGCAACATAGATTATAGACGAGTGGGGCAACATAGATTATAGAGGAGTGGGGCAACATAGATTATAGACGAGTGGGGCAACATAGATTATAGACGAGTGGGGCAATGTAGCCTATAGAAGGATATCAATTTCAATAATAATTTTGTTTAATGAAAAAGTAAAAATAATACTTTTTTTTATAAATTCATCCTTATCAAATCTAATTTATTTAAATATTGTGGAGCTCGGGGCAGTAAAAAAATTTAACCAGCTCCGCTCCAGAAAGACCCTGCCTCAGAGCTCCAAGCTCCAAAAGAGCCTGCCTCAGAGCTCCAAGCTCCAAAAAGAGCCTGCCTCAGAGCTCCAAGCTCCAGAAAGACCCTGCCTCAGAGCTCCAATCTCCAAAAAGAGCCTGCCTCAGAGCTCCAAGCTCCAAAAAGAGCCTGCCTCAGAGCTCCAAGCTCCAGAAAGACCCTGCCTCAGAGCTCCAAGCTCCAAAATCCCTGCTTAAGACTCACACATCCGCAGGGACTTGGGACAAACATCCGAAAGAAAAACGCCCGAAACTTCATTCATGGCTGTCGTTTCAAATTAATGTGAACGAATGCCGTTAGTGGAGCGAGACGAGGATCTGCAGTAACATCTATGCGGATTTTCTGTTTGATAGCCACCACTGAGAGGCGAAATTCTCACTAAAAAATAAGACGGAAAAAAAATTAACTGCATTTTAAGTTTGACTGAATCTTGGTCGTATTATATTTTGTTTTGTACCCTACATTTCGACGAGAAAAAAATTCTATTTTTTGGATACCCC